ACCGGCGACGCATCTTTCAAATGTTTGCCTTATCAACTGTCGATGGTAGGTTCTGCGCCTACCATGGTTGTAACGGGTAACGGGGAATCAGGGTTCGATTCCGGAGAGGGAGCCTGAGAAACGGCTACCACATCCAAGGAAGGCAGCAGGCGCGCAAATTACCCACTCCCGGCACGGGGAGGTAGTGACGAAAAATAACGATACGGGACTCATCCGAGGCCCCGTAATCGGAATGAGTACACTTTAAATCCTTTAACGAGGATCCATTGGAGGGCAAGTCTGGTGCCAGCAGCCGCGGTAATTCCAGCTCCAATAGCGTATATTAAAGTTGTTGCGGTTAAAAAGCTCGTAGTTGAATCTGTGTCGCACACCGTCGGTTCACCGCTCGCGGTGTTTAACTGGCGTGATGTGGGACGTCCTACCGGTGGGCTTAGCCTCGCGAGGGGCGGCCCAACTAATATCCCGTCGCGGTGCTCTTTACTGAGTGTCGAGTCGGGCCGGTACGTTTACTTTGAACAAATTAGAGTGCTTAAAGCAGGCTACCTTCGCCTGAATACTGCGTGCATGGAATAATGGAATAGGACCTCGGTTCTATTTTGTTGGTTTTCGGAACCCCGAGGTAATGATTAATAGGGACAGATGGGGGCATTCGTATTGCGACGTTAGAGGTGAAATTCTTGGATCGTCGCAAGACGGACAGAAGCGAAAGCATTTGCCAAAAATGTTTTCATTAATCAAGAACGAAAGTTAGAGGTTCGAAGGCGATCAGATACCGCCCTAGTTCTAACCATAAACGATGCCAGCTAGCGATCCGCCGAAGTTCCTCCGATGACTCGGCGGGCAGCTTCCGGGAAACCAAAGCTTTTGGGTTCCGGGGGAAATATGGTTGCAAAGCTGAAACTTAAAGGAATTGACGGAAGGGCACCACCCAGAGTGGAGCCTGCGGCTTAATTTGACTCAACACGGGAACCTCACCAGGCCCAGACACCGGAAGGATTGACAGATTGATAGCTCTTTCTTGATTGATTCGGTGGTGGTGGTGCATGGCCGTTCTTAGTTGGTGGAGCGATTTGTCTGGTTAATTCCGATAACGAACGAGACTCTAGCCTGCTAAATAGGCGTACCCTATGGTATCGCGGAACTTTTGAAAGAAAATCTGCCCGATTTTTTAGAAGAAGTGCCACTATTTGAAAGAAATAAAATGTTCTTTCAACAAGACGGTGCTTGACCACACAACGCCAGGATTGTAACAAACTACTTGAACGAGCAGTGTTCGAGATTCGAACGGTAATAACCCGCGGACAAGAAAGCGTTAAAATATTCATGCATCTCGATCATGCCTCATGCAGCATGCATATAATTTATTAATTAATATCGTGGTCTAACATGCGTATTTTAAATTATATTTAAATTAGCGCTCGGCCGCGAGAGTATACGGATACTCCGCGCCTTCGAAACAAGCGCTTAAAACAGTCTAAATTGTAAACACCGCTGTCGCGCGAGAGGAGAGAAAAACAAGTAAATAATTACAGTAAACGTTCCTTCACCCTTAATATCACAATAGAACGACAGCAAATGTACTCGAATATTCTAGAATTACAAGGCGTATATAAGCCTCCTCTCTCGCGACCGCGGCGCTTTTTCCGATTGCTCATCGCGAATAAAGTGTGTTCATACGATAAAGATTGCTTGTCTTTGTCTAATTCATTACCGTTGCTTGCGGACACTTAGTAATTTACGACTCGGCTAATTCTCTCGGTAAATTCGGTGCGGTATATTAATTGTAATTTTTGTTAATAGTTTATATAAATATATTTTTTTTGTGAACGTTACGCGTGTGTCGAGTGTTGTGTCTATTTCTCGGTCTCGCTTCCGACCACGTCCTATCCATCTTTCCGTCGCGCACATTTTTTGGTCCTTCGAGCCGGATTCCTCCGGAACCTCCTGTGAATCCGGTGCCACGGAAGCGATTGTGATTGAGTGTCGGTGACCAGTGCTTCTGGAACAGAGAAACATTGTTAGAAATGACAGACACGAAGGCGATCATTGCCACCGCCACGGTGCTGTACGGCAAGATCTCGCGCGCGTTCGAGAACCTGCGGAAGCTCGGCGAGGCCAATATGACCCTCGGCGCGGTGGAGGCCCGGCTTCAAAATCTCGAGAAGCTATGGGATAAATTCGACGCTCTTAATGATACGTTAGCCGATCGGGTTGACGAAATAAAGCATGAGGTCTACGCTAAACAGGACATCCCGTCCTTAGGCAAGGAAGCTTACCTGCTGAACAAGGGCCTCATGCTCGATCTGAAGAGCGCTCTCCAGCTGCAGCTACAGGCAGCCAGCTCTACCGCGGCCGCGACAACTAGTCCCGCTCCTCGGACAGCGCTGCCAAAAATCCAACCGCCTACCTTCGCCGGGAAATACGAGGATTGGCCTTCATTCCGGGATCTGTTCCAATCCCTCATCGGCCGGAATCAGGCAGCAAAACCTGTGGAGAAGTTACACTACTTAAAACTTTGTGTGAAGGGTGACGCCGATCTGCTGATTCGTAACCTCAGCACCACAGAAGACAACTATGAAATCGCCTGGAAAACTCTAAGCGATTATTACGAGAACAAAAGATTGCTGACTCGTAATTATCTGAATAATTTCTTAGCGTTGACCAAGATGAAAAGCGAATCCGCCGCTGAATTGAGGAGGCTTTTCCATGGAGTAAAAACAACTGTCAGCTCCCTGAAGAGCATAGACCGACCGATAGACCGCACGGAGGATCTCTTCGTCCACCTCGTCGTAGAGCTCCTCGACAGCCGCTCTAGGCGAGAATGGGAGAGTGATATAAGTCACACCACGAGTCCGCCAAGCTACGCCTCGCTTGAGCCTTCATAGAACGTCGGCTCCATACGTTGGAGGCGCTGTTTCCGGCCAGGAACGACAGCAGCAGCTCCAGCACTACGAAATCAACGACCACCACGTCCACGGCCAAGATCCAAAAGAGAAGTCCAGAAGCCGGCTGCCCATCTGCCAGGGGGACCACTTTGTTATGTTCTGCGGCGACTATAAGGATAAGACGGCGATGGCGCGTAAGCAGCTCGTCCGTGAGCATAAGCTCTGCTCAAACTGCCTTGGCCGGCATCAATCTTCCGAGTGCTCTTCGAAGAAGACGTGTACAGCGTGTGGCAGTCGACATCACTCCTCGCTTCACGATGCATTCCGGGAAGCCGAGGCCGCCACGACGTCTCACGTGGCTCAAGGCGCAGACTCTTCCTCCGCAACGGTGCTGCTCGCTACGGCTAGGGTCCGCGTCCTCGACTGCCACGGAAGCTGGCAGTCCGCTCGCGCTCTGATCGACCAGGGCTCCGAATCCTCCATCATTTCGGAGCGATTAGCGCAGCGCTTACGACTCCCTAGAAGAGCAGCCGCCGTTAGTGTCTATGGAGTCGGAGAGAAAAGGACCGGAGTGACAAAGGGGAAGGTGAGACTCACCCTGCAGTCGCGCAGAGGGGAATCGCCCACCTTCGTCAACGCTTTGGTGCTGCCGAAGTTGACGCTGTTTTCCGGAGGATGCCGCAGCAGTAGACGAACCTGGACCCATCTGGAGGACCTGGAGCTCGCCGATCCGGAATTCTGCTCCTCGGACCCCGTCGACATCCTACTGGGAGCCGACGTATATGGGACCATCATCCGTCAGGGTCTACGAAAAGGAGGTTCTAAGGATCCAGTAGCTCAACAAACCTCGTTGGGCTGGATTCTCTCAGGTACAGTTAGCTCGACGGCGCCCAGCCAACACATCTCCGCTCATCACTGCCAAATCGAGGAGGACATCACCTGCTTGGTGCGGCGGTTCTGGGAGCAGGAGGAAGTCCACCGGCCATCTCCGACCCTCACCAAGGCGGAACTAGAGTGCGAGGAGCACTACCGCCGTCATCACTCGCGCTCTCCTGACGGCAGGTACATAGTGCGGCTGCCAACGATCGAGCCTCTCCCGGATCTGTCTGGGACTCGTCGCGCCGCCAGTCGTGCTCTGCAACAGACGGAGAAAAGGTTAGAGAAAGATGCCGACTTTAAGGACATGTACGTAGAGTTCATGCAAAAGTACAAGGAACTGCGACATATGATGCTTGCACCAGCGCCAGCTGAGCCACAACGAGGTACCTGTTACCTGCCGCATCACGGGGTCCTGCGTCCGGACAGCACTTCCACTAAGCTGAGGGTCGTGTTCAACGGCTCGAGCTCCTTGCCGAACGGGGACTCTCTCAACCAATTTCTTCTGACTGGACCGAATCTGCTTCCTGCGCTGGCTGACATCCTGCTGCGTTGGCGACGCCACAGATACGTCTTCGCTGCCGATATCGAAAAGATGTATCGGCAGATCCTAGTGCATCCGGACGATCGAAGCCTGCAGCGAATCCTGTGGAGAGACGACTCTAAGAACGACGTCCAGGAGTTCTGGCTATGCACGGTCACTTACGGGCTCTCATGCGCCCCGTATCTGGCCATCCGTACCTTACGCCAACTCGCCGAGGACGAAGAGCATCGCTTTCCGAAAGGCGCCGACATCCTGCGGAGCGATGTCTACATGGATGACATCCTGTCCGGTGCCAAGAATCAAGAGGAAGCAGAATCTATGGTGAGGCAGCTGACAAATATATGCACGGCGGGCGGGTTCACACTAAAAAAGTGGTCTACAAACGCCTCCTACCTGCTGAGCCTCGTGGAACCGGACGCGCGCCTGCAACAAGAGGCCAGATGGTGGCTGCCCGGCGAGAGTCATTCCACTCTCGGCCTTCGATGGCAACCGTGCGACGACCGCTTCGCCTTCGCCACCCACCGGATCACTCTCTCAGCGGTCACCAAAAGGTCGGTCCTTTCTTTGACGGCCAAATTATTCGATCCACTCGGCTGGCTGTCTCCAACGACTGTGCTGGCCAAAATCAACATCCTGGCTACCTGGCTACTAGGTCTCGACTGGGACGCGTCTCTGCCCAGCGAGGAAACCAGAAAATGGCTGCGATTCCAGGAGGAGCTAGCGGCATTGGAGAAACTAGTCGTGCCTCGTTGGTTAGGAGCCCTAGCTGACTCCCATCAAGAGGTTCACGGATTTGCCGATGCCTCCGAACTTGCCTACGCCGCAGTCATCTACCTGCGAACAAACACAAACGGAGTTAGGAGAATGACTTTATTAGCTGCGAAGACCAAGCTCGATTGGTCGCCCACGTCGTGCCTCTTATTGGCGCAGAAAAGGCGCCTCTCCATCTGTGGTCGGATTCCACCGTGACTCTCGGCTGGATCCGGGGCCACCCTTCGTCCTGGGTCACTTACGTCGCTAATCGGGTGAGTGAGATCCAGACGCTGACTCCGGACGCCCACTGGCACCACGTCCCCGGCCGAGAGAATCCCGCGGACTGCGCGTCACGAGGACTCTACCTCAGCGAGCTTGTGGACCATTCACTATGGTGGCAAGGTCCGTCGTGGCTGTCCTCCGAGAGCCAACCGTGGACGATCAACTGCGAGGAGCCACCAGAGGATGACCTCCCAGAGAGGCGCGTCCGCGCCCACGTCGCCGCCATCGCCGAACAAAGGACTGAGCCGGAGATGCTTCTTCGATACTCGTCGCTACAACGCCTGCTCCGGATCACTGCGTGGTGCCGTCGCTGGCTGCGGATCCATCGTCAGGACCACCTCGCGCATGGCCAGCCCGGCTTGAACAGCGCCGACGAGATCGAGGACTCCCGGATCTCCTGGTTAAAAATCATCCAGGCTGAAACATACAAAGAAGAACTGAGACACCTGAAGAATGGAAAGCCTCTGCCGACTCGAAGCTCCCTACTGAAGCTAAGTCCTTTTCTGGACAGTGAGGGACTCCTACGCGTCGGCGGGCGCCTTAAACACGCTGCACTGCAGTATGATGCCACGCATCCAACCATACTACCAAGCAGATCTAATTTTACTTGCCTCATCATCGACGACTACCACAAGCGGACGCTGCACGGCGGCACCCAGTTGACCTTGTGCTCTCTTCGCCAGGAGTATTGGGTCCCTCGAGGTCGCGCTCTAGTGAAGAGCCGCATCAGCCGGTGTCTAAGGTGCACCAGATGGCGGGCTGCCATCCCTCAGCCACTGATGGGGGACCTCCCGGCACCACGAGTTACTCCAGGCCGGCCGTTTCTGCATACCGGCGTAGACTACGCCGGACCGATTTGGATGCGAACAGCAGGGGGCCGCGGACTCAAGGCGACAAAAGGTTTTATTGTTGTCTTTATTTGTTTAGCTTCCCGAGCAGTCCACCTCGACGCGGCCTCGGACTACACCGCTGACGCCTTCCTTGCCGCCTTGCGTCGGTTCGTCGCCAGGCGAGGAGTCTGCCACTCGCTATATAGCGACTGCGGCACCAACTTTGTGGGTGCCGATAAGCAGCTTAGGCAACTATTCTCCGCCGCCAGTGCCGACGGACATCGCATCGCAACCTTCGCCGCTCAGGAAAGAATCCGGTGGCGGTTCAACCCGCCAGCTGCACCTAACTTCGGCGGTTTATGGGAAGCTGCCGTGAAAGCGATGAAGCACCACCTTCGGCGAGTCATCGGTGACGCCACCCTCACCTACGAGGAGATGACTACTCTCCTAGCCCAAATTGAGGCCTGCCTCAATTCCAGACCGCTGCAGCCGTTGTCTGACGATCCGGAGGATGTAGCCGCACTCACACCTGGTCACTTCCTGGTCGGCTCCGCTCTCTCGGCGATCCCCGAACCGTCGCTCGAACGAGAGCCGTCGGCACGTCTCTCACGGTGGCAGCTCCTGCAAAACATGAAGGACCATTTCTGGTCTCGGTGGGTCAGCGAATACTTACACACGCTGGCCCATCGGCCGAAATGGTCCCGAATTAATCAGGAGGCTCGCGTCGGTCGAATCTGCCTCGTGCGAAACGAAATAACACCACCAAGACGGTGGCCGCTTGCGCGCATTACACGACTGCATCCAGGTTCCGACGGTAACGTTCGCGTAGTCGACGTCCGCACCTCGACCACAAATTTGACGCGTCCCGTGAACAAGTTAGTCTTTCTGACCGACGGCTCCGAAGACTCACTCGAATCGCAATCACGCGTCGTCCGCGTTTAAAAAATTTACACTTTTCTCTATTCCATATTCACATTCATTTATTTTTTTTCACTAAATTTTCATTATTCTCCTCACAATTGTACTTCACACTCACAGTCACTTGCACATCGCCAGCATACGGTCTACGCGACGCTTAACCTATACGCGTCTATACTGACTCCCAGTATAAACAGCTGATCGATTCAGCATTCCGTTCTCTAAATCAATCGGAGCACGTGCGCTCCACGTGTCCGTCACGCACGAGCTCGTGAATAGGCTCGTGCCCCACTCTCGCGCTGAGAACACGATTGCAGGTATATTACTGCAAGGCGGGCGGAATGTTCGAGATTCGAACGGTAATAACCCGCGGACAAGAAAGCGTTAAAATATTCATGCATCTCGATCATGCCTCATGCAGCATGCATATAATTTATTAATTAATATCGTGGTCTAACATGCGTATTTTAAATTATATTTAAATTAGCGCTCGGCCGCGAGAGTATACGGATACTCCGCGCCTTCGAAAATAAGCGCTTAAAACAGTCTAAATTGTAAACACCGCTGTCGCGCGAGAGGAGAGAAAAACAAGTAAATAATTACAGTAAACGTTCCTTCGCCCTTAATATCACAATAGAACGACAGCAAATGTACTCGAATATTCTAGAATTACAAGGTGTATATAAGCCTCCTCTCTCGCGACCGCGGCGCTTTTTCCGATTGCTCATCGCGAATAAAGTGTGTTCATACGATAAAGATTGCTTGTCTTTGTCTAATTCATTACCGTTGCTTGCGGACACTTAGTAATTTACGACTCGGCTAATTCTCTCGGTAAATTCGGTGCGGTATATTAATTGTAATTTTTGTTAATAGTTTATATAAATATATTTTTTTTGTGAACGTTACGCGTGTGTCGAGTGTTGTGTCTATTTCTCGGTCTCGCTTCCGACCACGTCCTATCCATCTTTCCGTCGCGCACAAGCAGTTTCCTGGACGTTGGATGGGTCGGTATGGCCCGATACGTTGGCCCGCAAGATCCCCGGACCTTAATTCTCTTGATTTCTTTTTATGGGGATACTGTAAGGAATCAATATACAAAACGCTTCCCGAGAACGTCGACGACTTAGAAACCAGATTGCGATATGTAATTTGGAATATCGAAGAGGAAGTAATGGAGAACGTCCAATTAAATTTATTTAAACGCATGCGAGCTTGCATAAGGATGGATGGTGGTCATTTTGAGCTCTTATTATAAATTAATCCGCTCTTTTCAGAGCGACCAAAGTCAATCCGCTCTTTTCAGAGCGACCAAAGTCAATCCGCTCTGAAAAGAGCGACCAATACATTTATACATGGAACATCTTGTTTGCAAAACATAATCATTTTTCTCACGTCTCGCTTAAAAAGAAAGGGCAAAACGGGCGGATAATGTTAAGTCATTAAAAAAAATGTATTATAACGTAAAAAATTATAATACATTATAATATGCCTTTTTTAATAACATAATTATTATACGTTTTAATACATGTCTCGCGTCAATCACATGTTCGGCAACGCCGCGTGATTGTTATCGTCTAGACGTGTCGCGAAGCGTCGCGACGCGTTGCGTCATCCGTCGCCGCAGTCTGTTGTCGTGTCCTTGCCGTGTAAACAATTGTCGTCCGCATCGAGTAACGTGTGCCTTTTTACAAGTAATTTTTAATAATTAGTAACGAAGCACCTTTCCCGACGCCACGGATCGGCTCGTCGGTGCCAGGATTCGGGAAGAGGGGAGACTCAGATTTACAATGACACACGGTTGCTCTGGTAAAAGTAGAGTTTATTCGGGGCCACCTTCCTGTGGTTCTCCCGTGATTCAAACCATTATACACAGCACAGTATAATCGGACGAAACGCGACCAGATGATACAGACGCGTACACGACTTATTGCTAGGATGGACAGATAGAAATATTACGGACGAGACGCGACCAGATTATACGGACGCGGACACGACTTATTGCTAGGATCGACGGATAGAAATATTACGGACGAGACGCGACCAGATTATACGGACGCGGACACGACTTATTGCTAGGATCGACGGATAGAAATATTACGGACGAGACGCGACCAGATTATACGGACGCGGACACGACTTATTGCTAGAGTTTCCAACGCGGACACGCGTACGGGCGCCCTGAGAAGGGCGAGCTCCGTCGGGCGCCGGTGACTTTCAGGTAGGACCCGGTGACCGAGGACGCTCGGCCTGCACGACGAGAACGCTCGTCGGCCGGGGTGATTTACGGACAGGACCCGGTGACCGAGGACGCTCGGCCTGCACGACGAGAACGCTCGTCGGCCGGGGTGATTTACGGACAGGACCCGGTGACCGAGAACGCTCGGCCTGCACGACGAGAACGCTCGTCGGCCGGGATGATCTACGGACAGGACCCGGTGACCGAGGACGCTCGGCCTGCACGACGAGAACGCTCGTCGGCCGGGGTGATTTACGGACAGGACCCGGTGACCGAGAACGCTCGGCCTGCACGACGAGAACGCTCGTCGGCCGGGGTGATCTACGGACAGGACCCGGTGACCGAGGACGCTCGGCCTGCACGACGAGAACGCTCGTCGGCCGGGGTGAGTTACGGACAGGACCCGGTGACCGAGAACGCTCGGCCTGCACGACGAGAACGCTCGTCGGCCGGGGTGAGTTACGGACAGGACCCGGTGACCGAGAACGCTCGGCCTGCACGACGAGAACGCTCGTCGGCCGGGGTGATTTACGGACAGGACCCGGTGACCGAGGACGCTCGGCCTGCACGACGAGAACGCTCGTCGGCCGGGGTGAGTTACGGACAGGACCCGGTGACCGAGAACGCTCGGCCTGCACGACGAGAACGCTCGTCGGCCGGGGTGATTTACGGACAGGACCCGGTGACCGAGGACGCTCGGCCTGCACGACGAGAACGCTCGTCGGCCGGGGTGATTTACGGACAGGACCCGGTGACCGAGAACGCTCGGCCTGCACGACGAGAACGCTCGTCGGCCGGGGTGATTTACGGACAGGACCCGGTGACCGAGGACGCTCGGCCTGCACGACGAGAACGCTCGTCGGCCGGGGTGAGTTACGGACAGGACCCGGTGACCGAGAACGCTCGGCCTGCACGACGAGAACGCTCGTCGGCCGGGGTGAGTTACGGACAGGACCCGGTGACCGAGAACGCTCGGCCTGCACGACGAGAACGCTCGTCGGCCGGGGTGATTTACGGACAGGACCCGGTGACCGAGGACGCTCGGCCTGCACGACGAGAACGCTCGTCGGCCGGGGTGAGTTACGGACAGGACCCGGTGACCGAGAACGCTCGGCCTGCACGACGAGAACGCTCGTCGGCCGGGGTGAGTTACGGACAGGACCCGGTGACCGAGAACGCTCGGCCTGCACGACGAGAACGCTCGTCGGCCGGGGTGATTTGGAGTGTGGGAGTTGAGGAGTGATCCCTGAGTACGCTCGAGGGACCAGGACGGGACTGGTGTCGAAGTCTCGGCTGCGCCGCTCTTTATACCCGTCGGCCACCCCACTCTAAGACTAGCTTGGAGGGGGTCGAGTGACGGGTGGGGGCGAAAAGGCGGATTCCCAACGTATTCGTGTGGTGGCCCCGAAAGGGGCCGTTTACACGAGCGCGGGCGACTAGTGACGGCTAATCGGGTCGTCACATCACCCTCCTTTTCTAGGGGGGGGTGGCTATTCGACGGATCGTTCGCGGTCTTCCTCGTCGGTCGAATCTGATGATCCACCGGCCCGTCGGGGTGCGTACCTTATACCGCCGTGAGATGGTGGCGGCGTGGTACGGTATGTCGACGGTTTGGCCATCCCCCAGAGTGACCTGGATGGGTCGTGGCGGTCCCGGGCGTGGTGCTGGCACTGGTGGGGCCTGGCCGGTTGAAGGTCGGCGTGGTGCCGGTTGGGGTGGCTCCCTGGCTGGTGGCGCGACAAGGGATCGCACCTGTTGGCCTGTGTTGGCGCGATGCGCTGGCTGGTCCGCTTCGTCCGGCGTCGCTGACTGGCGCGTGGTGGCTGGCGGTGCGACAGCGGATGGCGTGTGTCGGCGGGTGCCGGTTGAGGGAACCGATCGGTTCGCGGATGGTCGAGCGGGCTGGCGTGCGCTGGCCGGTGTCGTCGTGGGCCTGGTGACGCCGGCGACGGTGGAGGCCGGGGAGTCGGAGAGGACCGGTGGTCGTCGATGCCGGGTGTTCACCGGGATAGGTCGGCGTCTGCCCGGGGGAGGCGGAGGTGCCTCCAAGAGCACCAAGTCCCGACGTCGCTGCTCGGCGTCGGACCGCTGGATGCGGGTCCCTATTCCCGGTACTGGCCGGGTGGTTCGCCCGGAAACGGGCAGATTTCGTCCGGAAACGGACGGATTTTCCTTTGAGCGCTGGTTTGCTTCTTCGTTTGGTGTTTCCATCGTGACGGGATGAGTTCCGACCCAAGGGTGCCCGTTCTTTATACCCCTCGGTGATCTGGACGCGGACCATGAAGAGTGCCGCTCCCGGTGCGGGACCGGGTGGAAAAGCGCGGACCATGAAGAGTGCCGCTCTCGGTTCGGGACCGGGTGGCAAAGCGCGGACCATGAAGAATGTCGTTCCCGGTATTCGGCCAAAGATTTTCGACAAGACGCGGACCATGAAGAGTGCCGCTCCACGTATTTTGATTCGAAACCGCGAACATGCCTAACGGTTGACCGGCGGCGTTAATCGGCGCGCGTTGCTCGGGTATCGGACTAGGGTTCGGTCGCAGGACGCGGTTCGGAGGCGGATTTCAAGTCCCTCACGTGGACGTGCCGATGCCATCGACCTCGGTCGTCCTTCAGGTCCACGATGACGGGGGAGATGATGCGTCTGATCGTCAACGGGCCACCAAATCTTGGTGCTAGTTTGGCATTAAAGCCGCGCTCTTTGTTCGATAACGGGTGCTCCTTTTTCCATACTCGGTCTCCAACTTGTGGACGCCAGTCGCGTCGACGTAAATCGTAGTTTCGCTGT